GCAGAGGTTGTCTCCTTGTTCGCCAATCCTTCTTCCACAATGAAAGAAAGTACTTTACCGATATCGGTGAAGGAGTTGATTGTTGCAAAGGGTTCCATTCAAGCTTCAGAACTACTCAGGGAGGCTTATCCCTCAATATTGGTAAATTCCTTCTTTATTATATAGATAATGATTTTTAACGTGCAATTCAACTTCTTCCTCTGTAACAATTTTGGATTTTGCTTCATTCAGATGTTTCTAGTACGATGATAGTACACCCTGGTCCTGTTGATAGGTTCCTTATTGCAAACCAGAAGGTAGAAAATCAAAATCGATTACATATTAACTGGAAAAAGGTAACTTATATATTGGTGTTTTAGCATATCTTTGATAATTAAATCTGATTTTTGTCTCTCCTTTAGGCTAAAAGTACTCTCAAGAATCTTCGAGTTAAAGTTATCCCCTCAAATCGAGAATACAAGATAACCGGACTAAGTGAAAAAATCTGCAAAGATCAAACGTATGTTCTTTCTTTTAATCATGTAATTTTTTCTATTGACTTTTGATTTGCTTATTAACAATTATCTATTTTTATTTGCTTGATTTAGGTATATTTGGAAGCGAAAGAACGAAAACGGAGAAGTTAGTGAGGTTGAGATTACAGTGTTTGATTACTTCACTAAAAAACTTAAAATGAATCTGGATTATTCAGGTGACTTACCTTTGCATCAATGTTGGTAAGCCGAAGCGTCCAACTTACTATCCCGTTGAGGTAATGTTTTAGTTTTCTTTTGTTGTCGCATAACTTGACGTTTAATATGGCTTATGATAAATACTTGTTTGGTTTTGTAACATTTGCAGCACTGTGTACTTGTTTCTCTACAACGCTATACGAAAGCTCTTAGTCCTTTTCAGAGGAGTAACCTAGTCAAAGAATCAAGACAAAAGCCCACAGGAGAAAATGAATGTGTTATGTTATCCATAGTAAGTTCTTTCAAGTTTCCATTTGTTCTCTTTAAATTTCATTTTTTATTCATATCAAAGTCTCATAATCTTGTAGGCTCTGAAGAACAGTAATTACAACAATGACCCAATGCTGCAAGAATCCGGTGTTAGAATTAGCTCTGACTTCACTCAAGTGGAAGGCCGCGTCTTACCAACACCAAACGTGATTCTTCCTTAGAGTCTC